CGAACATCCAAAGACAAATGACCCCAATACACTCGAAAAAGAATGGCCAACCACAATCAATATGCCGCCCACAATCACAACTCAAAGGATTTAGAGTACGACTTGACTTCGCAGAAAAGGACTTCATTGAACTAGACCAATGACCACCTCGATGTTCAAGTATACGTACAGATCCGAGTAACCAGGCATCCCCTCCACGCACAATCTCGACGCCATTCCCAGACAAGGTCAAACACAAAGAAGTTCTCTACATGAAACGAAAAAACCTGTCATAGCCAACCATTCTGAAATCAGATTTGAGTTTGTTGCGAAAACCCAGTCGTTGTCATGAGAAGACACAGCGATTGAACCTGGAACTTCTCTAACAAGAGAACCCAGAAGAAATATGATGTTCGCCAAATACCAACGTCCATCATCCATCCTTTGAATTGCAGAAAGACTATTCTAAAAAACTCTGTAAAACCCGGATGGGTGGAACCTGATCTAAACTACATTTTATGATTGGATAAATTAGATATTTTACCACTGTAAAGTATTTAATATTAACCAATCATGATCCATCAAACTAGCAACCCACTTATTTGTAAGTGCTGGAATTACTTGTAATTTCAGCACCAGAGAGATTTGAATTTAACTTAGAAATTAGTTGACTCTCCAAGAAGACTTCAACAGCCGCAATAAATCAGTATACCCTAGATCTATTGAGCCTAGCAGAGACTAGTTAAACACCCTGAGACTAGATAGTATAAGAGTAAGATTAGGATCGGTATTAGACTAAGAAGTTGCACGAATCTATCCGGCCCAAAATAAGATAGCGTGACGAGCAGACGGTGTACCCTATCCGAAATTACTCTATGAGTTAACCACATCGGTCATAACTCATAATGTTTAACCAGTTATTTAATTGAAAAAAGGATTATATGATGGGTGCTTTCATTTTTAGGCAAAAATGACAACATGTGGCAAAGTATATCAAGGATAAGTTTGCCGGGGTTATAGATTGTCATGGTTCAATTGAAATGAACTTCACTGAACCGTGCTTTGAATTTGCATTACTCATAATTTGAAAAACTGATTCAGCCAGAGCGCGGCATTTCAGTATTTAGCGATATGTGAGAGTATATTAGAGCATAGTATCTTACATTTGGAAATTTACGAACGTTTCATTTTTTGTTTTCCAAACAAAAGAGCTCTCATTTTTTTCCCTTGAAAAGGCTGTTTTACCTCCCAATTAGAGTTTCTGCGTAATGTGTTAAGGTCAATTTCAAGAATAGCAGCTAGTAGTGAAAGTTAGTTGTTGTTCCGACTTTCGATACGAAAGTAACGGAATATTTGTGCTCGGGGTGGTTTTTTTTTTCTTCAGACAAATTTCGACTTTTTAACTAGCCAATTTTGACGGAATTTGTTTTATATCATTCGAAAGCTATTGTTGTCCTAAGCTTAAATTTGAAAAGATATTCCACCTGTGATCAATTTTCGTAAAGTTATGAGGGTTTAAAAATTGCCATTTTGGCCAATTTGGGACAATTAACACGCGATATATTTCGCGCTATTAACGCGTAAGCGAGATTTAATCCGTCTTAGAAATCGTTCCAAATTGGTTCAAGGAAGATTATATGCCATAATTGATTTGTTAATAGGAGCAAAATCGATCACTTTGTACTTAATATGGCGTGTCGGGGGATGTTTTCACAAAAAACTTCAAACTTTTTAGAATTTTTTTTAAATTTTACAGTGATACACTTTTATTTTCCATGTTATTACTGCTCCATAGACCTTAAAAGGCAGTCGGAACGTTCAGGGCTTCGCCTTGATACGAGCAGTCTTGTTGAGCTTAGATATAAAGCTTAGATGTAGGTTCTTCTGTGTGTTCAATTGGTAGGTTATCTTCTATCAAAATAAGACTGCTCGTATCAGGGCGAAGCCCTGAACAATCTGACTGCCTGTTAAGGTCTATGGAGCAGTAATAACATAAAAAAAACAAATGTAATAAAAGAAAACGGAATACTTTTTTATAATTTGAGATTCCTTTTGTGAAAATCATCCTCCCACACGCCATATAAAGTACTAAGTGATTGATTTCGCTCCTGGTAACAAATCAATTATGACAAACAAGCTTCCTTCAATCAATTCGGAACGGTTTTTAAGAGGGATTGAATATCCGCTTTCCGGTTAATAGCTCGAAATATATCGCGTGTTAATTGTCCCAAATTAACAAAATGGCAATCTTTAAACCCCCATAACTTTAACCAAAAAATGTTAGATTATACTCAATGTTAGCTAATGAAAAATCAAAATTTTCTCCCCCTCAAATATGTTTGGGGGGAAATAGTACTGTTGGTCCCGGGTTATGATGGTTGTTTTGTATTTCTGAGAAAAAAAAAGCAATCAAGTTTATGCTAGACAATACATTTCATGTTTTTAAACTTTTATGCTAGTCGAGCTTTATGCTAGTCGAGCGGTCACCCTTAGAATGTTGTTAACGTCTACTTCTATTGAGAAAATGAGTCGATAATTTTCAAAGAAATTTTTTAAAATTAATAAAAGGTGTGAGAAATTTTCTGTTCACATAGAAGTTTAGTAGTGGAGGGTTGCAAGGGAAAAAATTGGCACCAAGTTTTAAATTGAGTTTGTAAACACAACACAGTTTGAGTTTGCGATAAATTGAATTTGAGAATTTTGAGATAAATATACATCTATTTTTGATTCACATAGCGGCAAAGTACAAAATGGACTTTGAGAACAGTTCTAGAGATTAAGCAAGATTTCAGAGGATTGCAAAAAGGTGTATTTTTAGTGTTTGTTTCTTCAAAAAGTGAACAAACATGTCAGAGATAGAGAAGATTTTTTTTCCCGATTTTCGAAGAAGGTTACAGAATTTTTATGCTCGGGTGCATTTTTTCTTCTCTCAATTATTGGCGATTGAAGTAATAGATTTTAAGAAAAAACTTTTATGCCCCTTTGAAGACATCGACTCCCTGGAATAATATTTTAAAAAATTTTTCTCCGAGTTTAAAAATTGCCAATCTGGCTATGCTCTGGTCTAATTTATGCTCATTTTAAAGATTTTATCCATAATCCTTAAAGCGTAACGCAAATTATTTATAAGTGGCGAATTATCGGACATTAATCCGCCTTAGAAATTGTTCCAAGTTGAATTTAGGCATGCTATGTGGTCTATTTAATTTTTACTATCATCAAAACATACCATTTTTTACTTTGAGCAGCAAGTGATGTTTTTGAAGAAAATCTCAGAAAAATAATTTTTTTAAAGTATTTTATCGTTTTTTGTATACTATTCCAGAGCTTAAAACGCACTCGGAACATTAACGGTTTCGAAATTATATGAGCTGTCTGTTTGATTTTGTAAGATGGATTACTGAAAAAATTTGCTGCATAGAATTATTTCTTTTGTGCGATCAACTATAGATCACAGACGGTAACTATCAATTTTTAGGATCTTGTTTGAACTATAATTGTTTTAAGCTCCACAGACTGTGCGTATCTATTTAACTAATTCAATTGAACAGTTTTTGATGTCTTCTTGTAGTTAAAAACAACAAAGCCGGCGGCAATTTATTCTGACTGATCAAACGAAATTTGTCAAAGCTGTGTTAATGTTTCAGAAAAATTAAAATACCAGAATGCCTTCAACATGTGGACTTGGTTTGAATATAAATTTCCAAAACCTTCGTAATGAAAACAAAGTCCCACAAAACGGATATGTGAAGTGTTTGTTTAGCTTAACTAATTTTTTTTTTTTTTGTAAAAAAAAGTGAGAATAACTAAAATAATTACCGAATCTGTTTGTCATTAATTTACTGTTTTAGCCTGTTTTGTCAAAGTTTCAGCTTTCAATGGTAAGACAGAGCTTGTAGTTTTGAATGATTTCAAATTGAAAATTTGAAATTCGATAAGCCCAGTGAAACAAAACAAAATACCTCAAAAAAATTGATGAAATAACAAAGGAAAATAGCTTTGCTCTGTAAAAAAAATCTTCTAAAATGTATCAAAACTTGTAATTGTTAAAATTTTTAAGTAATCTAAAAAGCAAAATAATAAACCAATTAGAAGTTAAGTTGAAACAAAAAAAGAAACACTGACTTCTTGAAAAAAAAACACGGCATTTTTCAATGGATTTTAATTTTAATCTATCTTTTGAAGATCGTAGATTCTGTTGTTTCTGCAGTACTGGGTGATCTTCCAATGAAATTCCTACAAAACAGTTTGTTTGTGATTAATGTGCGCTTTCATGCTCGACAAACGCTGAAACAGGAGTCCGAAAGTCCAATTCTCTCCCCGCTTTTGATACAAGTAATATTCTTGTAGTAGTACGCGAGCTCTCAATTACTTTCTTTGTAAATAACTATCTACAAGGTGAATTATTGAATATTGAACATTCAGAAAACGAATTTGTTGGAAATATCAAAATTGATATCCGCAAGTAAAATTACTCTAAACAATTAAAACCCAATTTTTTTGGCAAATTTAAAGTTCCCACAAGTTAAATGGAACAACAATTAGCAAGAAAAACCCAAGCTGTCAAATATATTGGGGCAATGAGCAAAAAAATATTATCAGAACACTATGACGCTGTTAATAATAACTTAATCTCCATTTTATACAATACAAGAAAATGTTAGAGAAAACTGGTTCAGAAAACGTTTAAGCGTTGCATTCAGCCCCCATTACAATCTGCTGATTTGATTTATGGTATTGCAAATGAAACGTTGGTGCACATTTTTCAAAATCATTAAACATTTGTAATGAATCAAATTTTGGGCGGAAAGTTTGAAGAGGCAAAAAGTGTACGACGAACTGATAAAAATTTGGCCTTTGTGTGAGCTTTGTTTGAACAACGTACGAAAATGATTTCGAAAAATCACTCCATCTCATGGAATAAATCATAGATTCGCGCCTGCTTTTTTAAAACAAATTTCATTAAAATTTATCATATATAAAACGATAATAACAAATTTAAATTTCAAAAACTACCGCAAGCCTTAAGAACTGGAAGAAAACGTTCTTAACACTTTGATTTTTATTCAAAAGCAAAACTTTTCATTAAAATTTATGAAAACAAAACAATCACAAAAAAATATAACCTGCAGTTTTTTGCATCTAAGAAGGCATGTAAAACTCAAAATAATATAATTTTAGCTCCACCAAATCAGTTTATGGATTAAGTTTCAGCACTTCGAACTACGATCTTGATCGGAAACATTGACCTTATTTTTTTGTTCAATTAAGTTTTTTGGCTACTTTAACCCAGTTTATATCCGAAGGCCACTTGAAATGGTTCACTTTTGTCAGATTCCTTGCCAGATCTCCTCCGACAGGCGTCGGAACGTAGTTCATTTTCTCCATTTGTTCTAGAAACTTCTCAGCTATTAGATCATACTTGCGGTCGTTTCCTTTTTTCATTCTGTCCTTGATTGCGGAAAATTCCATGGCGATGAAAGGAACTGAGATCTCTTGGAAAAACTTGAGTCCTCCGAGGACTGCATAAGGTTCGGACTCCTCGCAGTCCATTTTCAAGATAGCTTCTGATAAGTTTAATCTCTGGAAAATGGGGAGCAGATCATCCAATGTGGCAGCTTTGGAGGACTAAAATGAAACATTATAAGGAGAATGTGGCGGATGCTAAAAGAGAGCACAAAAAAGCCAAGACAGAAAAGAAACAATAAACGCAGAAACAAAAAAATTCGAATTTCAAACAAAAAAAAGATATGAATTGCAAGTTTTTTTTGACACGTTTGTTATAAAAATAGCTCAATTTGCAAAAACTGAATCATTATGAAAAGTTTTTATTCTGGAAAGCTCGAAAATAAAATCTACTTTCGAAATCAGAAGGCGATCACGTTTTTTGTGCTTTTACACTTTCGCTATTCGATAGTGGAGTTTGCCTTCCTTTCAACAACAAAAAAAAATGAACTGAAACTTAAATACTAATTCCAGTCAAACCGCAAAAAAAAAACAAATTTGAACCTGAAAAAAATTTAGGACTTTTTCTTGGAAACCAAAATAAAAATGGAGACCCTTTAAAGAGTTTTCAACAAAGAAGACAAACAAACATCTTCATTCGCTTCTAGTTCACATGATAAAAATTGTAAATTGTTTTCAAATCAATTGTATAACAAATTTAAGTTCAGTAATTTATGATTAATATAGGTTTGAGAGGACATCCTAAAGTTTTTCAGAAAGCAGAGCAGTTTTGAATTATATCTCAATATTTATAACTAATGCAGTTAGTTTTTGGTAATTTTAGAATTTTAGAACACTACAGTTAGCTTAATGATCCAAGTTTAATCCACAAATTTTATCAGAAAAAAAACCAAACAACCTAGAATATAATTGTCAGGAAAACTATTGTTCGCGCTTAAATTAATGACGTCATTATAGCGCGAAAGTGAAAAAGCTAAAAATAGATTTGCTTAGACAAAAGGCCTTGAAAACTACTGGTTTGTCCGATTAAGGTCAGTTTGCCATCAAAATGTTTATAGATTTTTGAGATTGTTGAAAAACCGTTTGATAACATGTTAACCGGAAGATGTTTGCCTTATTTTATATTATCTTTATATTGTCATATTATCTGTTTAAATTGCCGATAATTTACAGATGTTGAACCAGGTTTTTTAGATCTTACAGGATACGAGAGTGCGGCACAATTTTTGGTCCGCCGACCCGGACATTAGATATTCCGGACGATATTGCCAACGACTCCAAATTGCGTCAAAACCGCTGCTGCAAAAAGACATGTCGTGATTTTATTCGGCAAGTATATCCACAATTCTTCGGCTAATTCGTAGTTTTCGGTTAAATACTGGAAATAAACAACTCTCGCATCGGGTTTTTAACCCTTCGTTCCTCAAGATCACCTTCGAAGTGGATTTTGACGTCTAAATTTAATTTTCTGGACACTTTTTTGAGGAAGAGCTTCAACTGATCAACGTCCTTGGAGTCCAATGGTTTATCAAACGAGAAGGGAAATTTTTTAGCCGGCAAAAAATTCATAAACATCTTGCTCAAAATCAGATTTTCATTCGACTGGAAAACTTCTTTGTACAATTTGCAGAGCCTATCTTCATTGCCAAAATATTAGAAATCTAGCAGATTGAAGCAAACGTAAATCCTACAAAATTGAGCATTTCGTCCACAAAACACCTCGAGACCTCAACCAAGGTGTAGATCTCTTGATTTGAACCCAGATTATTGTTTACGCAGATACCTTCGCAAACAGACGCGACGTATTCATTCGCAAAAGTATCGCAGGACGCGACATACTGGAGTGTGAATTGTGGACCCATTTTTTCTCGACACCCGAAGTTTCTGTGGAATTTGGATTCTACCGGTGAACGCCTCTACAAAACTTGTAAGACTAAAAAACCAAAACTTTATCCATTTGTGCTAACTTGCTGATTTGATGCTTTAAATTCTAATACGAGGTTTTTTGATGGCAAAATCGTAACCCCCAATTTTTCTCGATACCAAAACCCGATCAGAAAACTTTCTATGGGTTTAGGAAAAAACCGGCCTCATAAACCTTAATTACGTTATCCTAACACCTTGTTTGTAAGCTCAACACCGTATCGAAAAAAAAAGACCAAAAATTTTGAAAAAAAAATTGAAAGTTTTTGATTTTTTTTTCCAAAATTTTAAAGTTTTGCAAATTATTCAGCAAAGCGCCTAGTTTCATAATAATATAATTTAAACGACCGAGTCGAGTTTTTTGCCCCAAGTTTTGGACTTTAAAAAAAAAAATTCAAAATTTCGCAAACGCATCAGGTTATTGTTGGAACTTGAACCATTGGGTGAAAACGTGGAAAAAAAATTTCGGAAAAAAAATTCGAAAAAAAAAAAATTTGGAAAATTTTCGGAAAAAATCCGAAATTTTCGAAGAAAAAAAAATTCTGAAAAAACGCCGTGTTTTTTCTTGAAACGTGGTGCAGCTAACTAAACTAGTTAAATTGGATAAAAGTAGCCGTAGTCGAGACCCGTAGCGTATTATTAAGCAAATCGTCTTACCTTTTGCTACAACCTTGTTAGCTCAGGGTGTTGCGGGAGGTCAGGTCGCGGTTTGCTTGATTCCCTCCCTCTTAAGTTGATTTAAATCACTAAATGTTCATACTAGCTGCTAGCTCGCTGCACCACGCTTTGAAAAAACTGTCCCCCGCTTCGCAAAAGCGTGTATCTCAATCGTGCTTAGCCATTCCCGGGTTAAGTTTCAACCATAACGCAGTGAACGTCCGTAAAACTTGTCAGTATCAACTTGATCACTATCTCTTAAACCGAACCGACATTGTTATTTGGCACGACGCTGTTAATAACTCTATTAGTCGACACCGTAGTAATAACTTTAACGCACTAACACCAAAAAATTAGAAATCTAGCAGATTGAAGCAAACGTAAATCCTACAAAATTGAGCATTTCGTCCACAAAACACCTCGAGACCTCAACCAAGGTGTAGATCTCTTGATTTGAACCCAGATTATTGTTTACGCAGATACCTTCGCAAACAGACGCGACGTATTCATTCGCAAAATATCGCAGGACGCGACATACTGGAGTGTGAATTGTGGACCCATTTTTTCTCGACACCCGAAGTTTCTGTGGAATTTGGATTCTACCGGTGAACGCCTCTACAAAACTTGTAAGACTAAAAAACAAAAACTTTATCCATTTGTGCTAACTTGCTGATTTGATGCTTTAAATTCTAATACGAGGTTTTTTGATGGCAAAATCAAAACCCCCAATTTTTCTCGATACCAAAACCCGATCAGAAAACTTTCTGTGGGTTTAGGAAAAAACCGGCCTCATAAACCTTAATTACGTTATCCTAACACCTTGTTTGTAAGCTCAACACCGTATCGAAAAAAAAGACCAAAAATTTTGAAAAAAAAATTGAAACTTTTTGATTTTTTTTTCCAAAATTTTAAAGTTTTGCAAATTATTCAGCAAAGCGCCTAGTTTCATAATAATTTAATTTAAACGACCGAGTCGAGTTTTTTGCCCCAAGTTTTGGACTTTAAAAAAAAATTCAAAATTTCGCAAACGCATCAGGTTATTGTTGGAAGTTGAACCATTGGGTGAAAACGTGGAAAAAAATTTTCGGAAAAAAAATTCGAAAAAAAAAAAATTTTGGAAAATTTTCGGAAAAAAATCCGAAATTTTCGAAGAAAAAAAAAATTTCTGAAAAAACGCCGTGTTTATTCTTGAAACGTGGTACAGCTAACTAAACTAGTTCAATCGGATAAAAGTAGCCGTAGTCGAGACCCGTAGCGTATTATTAAGCAAATCGTCTTACCTTTTGCTACAACCTTGTTAGCTCAGGGTGTTGCGGGAGGTCAGGTCGCGGTTTGCTTGATTCCCTCCCTCTTAAGTTGATTTAAATCACTAAATGTTCATACTAGCTGCTAGCTCGCTGCACCACGCTTTGAAAAAACTGTCCCCCGCTTCGCAAAAGCGTGTATCTCAATCGTGCTTAGCCATTCCCGGGTTAAGTTTCAACCATAACGCAGTGAACGTCCGTAAAACTTGTCAGTATCAACTTGATCACTATCTCTTAAACTGAACCGACATTGTTATTTGGCACGACGCTGTTAATAACTCTATTAGTCGACACCGTAGTAATAACTTTAACGCACTAACTCCTAACCAGCTTAAGAAGATTCTTTTAAACTATAAACGCAATATTTATGCAATCGTTTACTGTAAACGTGTAGGCACGGAAGATATATATAGTAAGTTGAAAGAATCAGGTATATTAGTTATTAATATAGTAACAGACCTGATATCTAGAAGGAAGCAGAACCTCAATGAGTTAGGGCAAAAGTACTTAGAACTACACCAGGATCCCTCTCTAGAACTGAAAACGTTTACGATCCTTAGGCGTTATAGCAAGAATTTGAAGTATATTATTTCAAAGAAAAATACTCCTAAGCCAGGAAAACGCAAGCGGCAAGCTAATCGAAACAGAAGAAATGCTGAGCAGCACTAGGAGTTAAATAAATTGCTTCTCTAAGGTGTGATATTGTTTAATGAGTCAGAATATAATTTATTAATACTAAATATAAGGTCTTAAATTAGTTATTCCCTTTTTTTTTCTCTCAAACTGAGCAGTTGAGCGGTTGAGTAGAAGTGAACAAGTTTAAAAGTAATCAAAATGACAGAACAAATTGAGTTAAAATATCGACGATTGATGAATGGTCGAACATCACTAGAAAATGAGCTTTCCGTAATTCACAGTCGCATAACTGAGAGTTTAGAGGGACCAATTCGGAAAACAAAATTAAACGCCTTAATTGAATCTTGCAAGAGTATTCTCGAAAAAGCATTAGCTAAAAAAGATGAACTTGTGATATTAGCTAATAAAACCGATAACCATAGCAAATTATTAACGGAGTTGGCTGCATGGTGGGATAGGATAGTTAAAGTTAACGATGAAGTAACTGGTAAGGCTCGCGCTCATATGGAATCTAATCAAGCTTCAGAGGTCTGCGTCAGTGAAACTAGTCGATCAATAGTTTCATCAAAATCGGCAAAATCCGGGTCGAGTAAGCAAAGCTCAATGAAATCATTGACCCCCAGTGAGCGCCGCAAAGAGCTG